TCAATACATTTTGGATGTTATATATGTCAGACTTTTACACCATATAGATTAACGTGTAGGTTTCAGTTTTTTTTAAGTCAAAGTCAAAAGAAATGAAAAAGTTAACAGACGCTAATATCCTGGCATAGCTTTTCTATTGATTAGCCACGAAGGCTGGAAAGTAAAAAAAAAGATTTGTGCAACTGTCCGTTAGGTAGGAATACATCTAAGACAATCTGATGGTTAATTAAAAGCGTACGTTTTAATGCGGGCGCGCTTCCTTCTGACGTCACGAGGCCACTAAACGTGCGAGAAGTTCAAAGTCGATATTGTTTAAACAATTTGCACGCGTTCGATATTCAATTGATGAGATTGGACATTTACAATAATACTTTCATTGATGTGCTTAAGGATGATAAATGTATTGATTTTAAATGTACACCCAAAGATGACAGTGACATAACTTTATCGACCCAATCACATTTAATTTATTACGTTTTGTATTTGAGGTTTTTATTTAACAAGGGAACGTTGACCTCATTGTAATATATTGTAAAAAAGGTTTGATGAATATATAACAATTTTTCACAATTATTAGAGTAAAGGATTGAATCCTGACAAACTGCGTTTTGAATCATGTAAATATCTAAGATAACGAAGTGAACTTATTGTAATATACAGGAGTATAGTTATATTTCTTCGAATACAGTGGCTATGGATGGAATAACGGTAAAATGATCCCTAATTAAAATAACATTAATTTTAGTCTAATTTAGAGACCACACAACCGAATAGGTATCAGTGATTAAAACAAAATTTAAACGCAATTTTTAAAAGAAAAATAAAATCATGTCGATACAACAGCCTTGCTCTTTAATAAACTTTGGTAAGGTACCTGTCCTTGTAAGATCTATATAAATAGAAAGAGATGATATCAAGACAATTAATATAACTTTAATATTAGAAAACGAATCTATGTATATTCATTAATTGCAGTTCAAAATTGAATAGCTAATTGATTAAACCTCGAATTATGTAATGTAATGTTATATTGTTGTAGTTATAAATCTAGTCGTTTTCTAGATTACGGTCACGGAAAACTCGTTTATTAATTTTCCTTGAGTTACTGGTGACCTGTTACTTATAATTGCTGGGTTCATTCGAAATTTATTTATCTTATTATTTTTATCATCGTCTTCAGCCTATCAATAACCCCACTAGTACGGCAGACGCCTTCCCTACGAATGGAATCGAATAGGAAGAATGGGTCATGGCCGATAACGCGGGCGTAATGCTGAATGATGGACATTAAAGATTTCAGAAGCTGTCGGGATCAACTTAACGTATCTTTGTAAAGCACAGAGGAGGCCAGCTAATACATTTTTGGTCATCCACCCTGTGACCAGCCCCTACCAAAGGTCGCTTAAGTGGTGGCCAAACTTAAGTACAATTCTAATGCTATTTAGAAAATAACGGTAGGCACTGGTGGTATTTAATTTTGCAAAAAATATATATATATATATATATTAATCATCGCGTGTGAGGAACCTAAAAGTAGCTGGTTCAAGTTATAAAAGCAAAGTATTTATAAAAATATGGCGATAAGTATTACAAACTTTTGCCATATCAAACATAAGTTACTTTCTACTTATCTACTAATCAAATGGCAATGAGAAGTGTATCGATAATTACATATATCGAAGATAAGACAATACTTCCTGCTATCTCGGAAGAATTATAGCAGCTTAATAGGTACTGCTATAACCTTGATCTAATATTGAGGTCATAGAATGAGTCACATAGTGTTAATTAATGTCGTTATCCTTAACTAAGTGGGTTTTATAACCCAAGGCTCATTATTATTAAATTATAAGTGGGCCGATATACCGCAAACGGGGAATCTCCGAAAATGGGATAACGACAGATGGGAGACAACAGTCGTTATATCTGTGTTGTTAAATAATGTTTGTATGCATTACAAAGGTCTCCCACACTCCGCAAAAGGGCCCTATAAACCAATAAGGGTGAAGCTATATGTGTCAGGACAGTGACTTCATTTTCTGCAGAAATACCTTCTATAGGCAAAACAACAACACAAAAAGATAGGGCGAGGTAGAGAGGCGATAACGTGTTGCTAGACGCAGCTCAGCCCTTAGAGTACATTTTTAGGAACTACCTAAAAACATACAACTTACAAAAATCATGTTAACATTCACAACTAAAGCAAAAACGCATTCTTTATGGCTTCTTACTTGACGAGTCCTTAGATATCACGTGTCCTAGCATCATGTTTCCATTCTCGGATGAATTTAATGGCCTGTGGTTACTTTACTATGTAAATACTTCAATACCCTATGAAGAGAAGCATCCACAGAACTAAATCAACACCTATATTATCTGTATCTAACATTTATGAACTTACGATATATAAATGTATAAATCCAATGTAAAATGTTGCGAATTTCATGAATATTAGAAACAGCAATCCTGCAGTTGCTGCAGAGATCATGTCTTGGAGGGCACTAGAAATAGCACTAAAAAGAGTTCCTAGCAGAAATTAATGTTTGTTGTTTGTGGCTGTTAGAAAATCCGCGCGGTTTTTACTTTACATATCTTTTTGGCCTAGGCCTGAGCACTAGCAGCGGGGACATTAAAAGGTGATGATGATCTACCTTTATTAAGAAAGTTTCTGTAAACTTTTCCTTAGTATGTAAGGTCACATTGTGAACTAATTTGAATTGATATGATACATAGTCACTACATCTGGAATCAATGTTTATTATCACTCAACAAAATTAGTTCCTTCATAAACAAAACACCAGCTTATTATTAATGTGATACTCGGAAGTATTCATTAATAAGAAAATACAGTTAGGTTATACAAACTATTGAATTGCTCCACTAGATTTTAAATTAATTCATATAAGACGGACTTCAACATCAACTGCATAATTGTGACAAATTGTGGTAACCTGACATGTTATTATGATTATATTGTTATGTATTAACTTAGCCAATAGAGAAATTAATTATGCTGTTATATGCCAATAAATGATTGCTCATGTAATTAACAAGATTCCTGTCTTGTGAATTGCTAGTCATTGTTATTTTACAAATAGAATTGTGAACATTGTGTCAAAGAGTATAGTATAATCAGAGAATAAAATTTATAGTAGTAAACATGTGCAATTCAGTTAATAGGGTTTTCAAATGAAAATGTTGTTTTCTGAAATTTTATATTACTCCCGTATGTATATGTATGTAAGGTATGTACATATTTTTCAGTCTTTATTTATCTATGAATAGCACACACAAATAATTTATTAGTTGATGTGGCAGTCCTTAATAAAATTTTCAAATGAAAATGTTGTTTTCTGAAATTTTATATTACTCCCGTATGTATATGTATGTAAGGTATGTACATATTTTTCAGTGTTTATTTATCTATGAATAGCACACACAAATAATTTATTAGTTGATGTGGCAGTCCTTAATAAAATTTTTATTGCAAAACTTATGAAACATTTTTTTTTTACATCTAATGAGAAGATTCGACTTACAGTCTCTTTGTTGTGTCTCTTAGCTGGTTTACTGTACATCAGAGTATTTATTTTACATCATTACTGTATAGGTAGTTTTTAATACATAGTGGTTTTTTATTACTCAATTTTTATGTATATAAGGATTTTTTTACTCATCATGGCTTGGATGCATTACGATTCTCATATTGTGCCTGGGTGATGACAGCCTAACTAATAGTTCAATATTATTACATTAAAGGAAGAAATAAGTTTAATCTTGGCATTAGTACTCGATAAAGGCATAGTACAATATTTAATTTTGTTCATCCAAAGTCTCAAATATATAAAACATATACTTAGAAAACCTATATACTTTGTTGGTTAAGAAAGAAAATATTTGATATGATGTTATTTTCTAGAAATCTATTACAAACTATTGAAAGTTGCTATAATCTATTACTATTACAAATATTTAAGGTATTAAACTTCTTTTCATGATTCCACATGATTGTAGTCAAAAGAGCTTGTAATATGTTAGATGTTTAGATTAATCTAGATATGATATCATTCATTTATTGAGATTCATCTAAACATCTAAAAGGCAAAAAGAAATACCAATAATAACTAGTGGAATCTGATAAGATAAAACTAACACATAACCTATCAAAGAAAACAAAATAAGCATATAACTAAATGTATGAAATTGGATAGTCATTCAGAATATATTTGTTTCAATATTAGACCAAAATAGTATTAAATTAACACAAAACTGGACTTACCATCAGGCTCTGACTTCGACTCGTGCTTTATCATACTTATCTACACAATTGTCTTTAATTATGACACAAACTTTAACTATCAAAAAACATCGAACTGGTGGCTATTACTTATAGAAGTATATTAAACGTTTATTGTAACCAAATCCCAAATAACTACGAAATTATATTTTCAGCTGTTTATGTTTTTGTATCAGTTTGACATTGACAACCTATATCTATTTAAATTACTAAGTTGGTGTTACTGTCTGTCAAATGTACGTCCATACGTACCGATTTATATTTTAAACTTAATGGTTTGTATTTTTAATATTTTCAAATGTGCATAAAATATTATTTATACGGTTTACATTTTTTTTTGTAATCTGAGAGCGTTTATTTTACGAGCTTTAGTACAAATTAATTCGAAAACTGATTGCAGACTACAGACCCGCATGTCGAACGGAACGCCGTAACATGACCGCAACATAATGTTCTGTGGCCGCAACTCGCATTGATTGGTCTAGTACGGTTGGTAATCAGTTGGCGTCCTATCAAATGAAAATCGGCAATTGGCAATGTGTAGTTCTATATTTGAATTTTCCATTTTAGAGGTAAAATTTGAATGTTTAATGTTTCTAATCTAACAAAAGTTAAAAAAAGCACGTGCGTATTTGTGCGTTACTGTGCTCAAGATACTATAGCTCAAGCAAAAGAGATAATTAAAATTTTTCCTTTGTTACAGATAATGAAGGGAATGTGAAAGGCGAGAAAAGGGTTTGCTACTTTTTTCCGGGATAAACAAATACAGAAACATAAGAAAATGTCGAACACCGTGGAAAATGGTCTTCACGTTAACGACGAAACTCGGTAAATATTATGACTTACTGGTAAAAACATTTGTGTATCTACCTACAGGGTAGGTATTTACTTGGTATTTTAAAATATTTATTACCTACTTGGCAAGTCTGCCCGTATGCCCATCGGTCCTTGCTAATTCAAGTTTACAAGTTATTTTTATGCTTAAGTTCAAAATTGATTATGGATTTGGACACATAGTGGTAACTGATGTGTACATAAATATTTTAAGCTTCTATATACTACTATACAAGTTGTATGGTACAAAAGGTGCTCTGCAAGCACTTGTGCAATTTGCACAACTTCCATTTTGACCGCCAATAGTACTAGGCTACAGTATTGCAGGATCTAACAAAGCTATTACAAATCACATACACCATGACCATGACATGCAGCAATATTGCTGTGCTGTGACATAATTTTAGTTCTGAACAACTTGTCTACTAGTAGATATAGTAGTATACATAGAAGTCTTTCATATTAAGCTAAAAAATTTCAAACATATACTAAAACCACATTTTTTTAATATATCTGAAATATGGACACAATTTATAGGATTAGCATAATTTTATAAATTGGTAATTTTAAAATGATTAATAATTTTTAAATGTCTTCATCCATTGTAACAGGAACTCGTCCCCCTATTAATAAAAAAATAGGACAAATACTGGTAAGAATCGGTAAAGAGTTTCTAATAAAAATGACCAATAGTCATGACTATCTCTATTTTTCAGAAATCTACCAGATATCTCTTTAGACAAAAAGAACAAATACATATTAAAAATACCTGTCTAGCCCGGTACTAATAATAAGTTTGTAAGTGGCCTCGCCTTGCTAGTAGTAATGTTTGCCCACTTTTTTTAACTTTAGCATGTCCACTATGCATGTCTAATATATACCACCTTAAATGGACACTTAAGAATCTTTTGTAATAAAATTATTACTATATTTATATATATCATCTTTGAGTGTATGCTATAATTGTCATGGTTATTGTCATCATTTTGCAAATTAGTGCAGGTTATATGTTTTATGACTTGTGATCAGTGTTTGTCTGTTAGTGGCATATTGTAGCTGTACCTACTAATAGACGCGGTATATTATTTTTTATTTAAATTTCCATATTATATTATAAAAATACCTACAGCTATAGTAGATTCTAACTATTAAGGTGTAAGCATTGTGAATAGAAACAATCCATCAAAATTAATTAATTTTAAATTTCATGTAATTGTTTTTGAACATAGCAATTTTTATTTAATATTGGAATCACTTTGTAGTTCTGTGTCGTATAAGTTTATAATTATGTTACACATAACATACCTAATAAAAATTGATATGAATAATTTATAATTATAGGTGTATAAATATCCTTCAAAGGATAATGTCGCTTCATCCTTTTCTATTGCTTGGAACTGCCATTTGGTAGTGCGAGAAAGGCAGCGATTGTCTGATAGCTAGCCTCTGAATTCTCGAGCTAAAAGCCAAATCAAGTGTAGGACAATGGAATAAGCCGATACAGTGCTCCCTGATGAAGTCTAATTCTTAGATATAATCTGCTAGATCTATACTGGTCCCAATAGGGAATTTTCACATTTTTAGAAAATGTTTTTTTATGATAATTTACGTCGATATATAACTGTAAAAAAATACCCAGCACCGAAAAACTAAAATTTTGCAACATTAATCATTGATGAAAATGAGTAATATCTACGAGCAGTTTAAACACCGGAATTTTTGGCGCGCTTGTCGTGACGTAAAAGTACACGACTAGAGATATGACACTTAAAATCAATATGGATTTTGGGTGATTGATTATTATTCAATTACCCAAATCAATTAACAATAAATCGATTTTTTAAAGTACGATATAATAGACTTTTTTAATAAATCATATAATTTACCAAATTGGTGAAATAAAAATAAAAGCCTAAAACATCATTTAAATTGTAATCAGTTGTTTATTTTGCGACATAATACATTGAGGTTATTGCATCGATGTTAACTTTTTGTAACAACGACATCCCTATACGTGTACATTTTCGTCACATCCGCTTTGACAAGTAGCATGGCGTTTAAATATTTTAAAGTTACCGCATTTATTTTGCACTTTATAATAATTATTTTCTAGACGAAAACGAACTGATGTTGAAAAATATTTAGATAGACTTTATTCTAAAGCAATAACGATTGTAATAAAATATATTTAACCCTTTTTTAATCAGACGCATATTCCCTATTCTGTTGTATCACTCACCAAACTAAACTTTGTATAATCTAAATTTAAATCGGGTTTGTTTTGATATTATACCATAGTAATAAGTAATCAGTGAAATATAATTATGCTCCTATATCGAATAATACAATAAATTTACGTTGGTTTACTTAGTTATTTTTTACAAAAATGCAGTTTGACGGGACTAAACCTAAATTTAGTCAAGTTTGTGCAAAAAAATGGATACTATTGCCCTGCTGTACCAAGTAGTTGAGGTTGGCATCAAAAAGTCATTCTCCACAATACGATTTATCACTAAAAATTGTTTTCTTTTTCTTCACGTTTTCATGCATAAAATAATACACTGGATCGTGTTTTGTTCGATTCACATTTTCATTCACTGATTTGGATCAGAAACACAACTTTTGCATGAACTCTTCGATGTTGATTGGAAAATTTAGAAGTTTTTTATGATACTTTACTTTGCAACAATTAATAATTTATTTCTACAGTCAACAGTACATTAATTCAGATATCAAAATAAGATACTATCTTTTAAACCTGATTTAACCTCAAGTCTATTAGCCCAAAGTGCAAATTTGTATAAGAAAATTCGATAATTTATATTAAACTTATGCCCTGTCGACTGTATACCAACAACAATTAATGTCTGTCATTTGCAATGTGAATGTCTTTTTATTATTTAATATGCTTTATTTTCGTTTTCAGCGCACTAACAGCGAGCCGGGTCGAAAACAGGTTTTTATAATATGTGTGTTTGTTCTTTTTTTCAGAGGAACGACCTATTTTTTTTCCAGAAGTAGAACCAGCGCGACGCTATGGCAACGGATAAGCTTGTTCCTGTCCATTTACTGGAAATCTATTATTGTGGTGCTGACGCCACTCGTACTTCTACCGATACCAATAATGAACAAGGATCCGGTGAGTACTTATATCTATCTATATATTATCTTTGCCGCGATCCCTTGAAGGGTGGGGTAGGCAGAGTAGACCGGGCACCATATGTCACGAATAGCGACCGTTTAACTCTTACTACTTTGCAATGCCTTTTGGTAGATATGCATATATTACTAGTTGTTGACACTGCTGCCAAATGTATTATCATATATTCTTTATTATTCGTTCGTCGTTATTACATTCGATATTAAAGTAGTAAAAAGAACGCAATATCGCTAAGCTATCGTATCCTATGGCTAGAAAGTTATTTCGCACTCACGGCCCTCGATTACATCTTTCGCCTCCTCTACTTTCATAGAGTTAGACTAAAGAAGGAAATTTGGAACTCCAACCAAAAAGGCGTTAAATAGGTGTTGCAAACTTCTGTCATAGAAGTCCATTAATTTTTAATTAAGAACCATGTAACTACAATTTTCTGGTTACCTATTAATAGTTACTAAATGCCTGTCTTTTTCTTGTTGTAGAAAAAAACAATCACAAATTAATGTATTTAGTTTTTTTTTACAATGTTAGTCGGAATGCAATAAATTGTCCTAAAATGGAGTTTGCGCGTAATAATCAATAAAAATTCATCAATAATAAATTTATACCAACAAATGCAATCAGCGTAAGTAAAACCCGCACAATATTAGAAGCTCACTTAAGAAAATGGCGGGAGTCGGCTGGATAATCAAGTAGAATAACTATCACAAAGGGATATTACTCATACGGGTATGCGTAAAAATACGACAACGTAAATACCCCGTATTTAATATAATTTAAATACGGGGTTCAAAGTTTGTATGAAAGAAAATCATGTAATCCACACTAGCTGGCAGAAAGCTAGTGTAGTATAATATTTAAAATGTCCTGCTCGAAAAACCAAATAATTTTTGGTCCTTCGAGCAGGAATTTAAGAAAAAACAAACTACCAAATTATTTGTAAATTATACTAATATTATAAATGCGAGAGTTTGTGAGTTAATTACTTTTTCACACAAAAACTGCTGAACAGATATTGATGAAATTTGGTATATAGATAATTCTAAATCTGTATAAAATATAGGCTAATTTTATCCTAATAAACGGTTCCCTATGGAATAGCTAGCTAGTACTAGCACTAGCTAGTACAATATTTAATAGAAGATAGAAAATAAATACTTTTTTTTTATCCACAGGCCTACAAATGTATGTACATAGTAATCATAATGGCAGTATACTGGGTTTTGGAGCTCCTCCCATTGCCAGTTACATCAATGCTACCTATTGTACTGTTCCCGACTATGGGTATCCTGGATTCGGACAAGACATGCGCAGCTTACATGAAAGAGACCAATATGATGTTTATGGGAGGACTGATGATCGCTGCCGGAGTGCAATATTCTAAATTACCCAAAAGGGTAGCTTTATGGACAGTGCAAGTAGTCGGCTGCTCACATAGAAGGTAAGATTCCATTACGAAATTATTGAATCACAAATGTCACAGGTACATTTACGGCATTCTCTTAACGGAGGTAGGTAGCTAAACGACATTTCTATAAAATAAGTAACTTGGAAGACATGATTCTTTTTCTGTGTCGTCATTATAGTTTGACATAAAATACTTCTTTTTTCTTTTTGAAAATTCAGTTGGACGGCATAACAATGATATTGCACGTTTTCAGATTAAACTTCGGTCTTACGTTCGTAACTATGTTTATATCTATGTGGGTGTCTAATGCAGCCGCCACCACCATGATGGTGCCGATCGTGGAGGCCATATTGGAAGTATTAGAACAGGTATTAACACTACTAAATGTATAAATCTATATTCAACGGCAAATAAAATAAAAAACAAGTATCAAAATTCAGATTAGGTAAATCTGAACTTAATTGCCAGGGTGTTAAGTATTTAAGTGAATGTAAGTTTGAGAATTTCGCCCCATAAAATCATTTATTACTTTTTGAACTATTTTTTTATCGTATTTTACTGCTGGGCAACGTTATGTTAGACGCCGTATTTTTACACTGCTGAGCGGCTTATCAATTTCAATGCATTATTTATTTGAAATAAATGTATATTATAGCACCATTACCGTAGAAAATCAATTTATAATCTACAATTGTTAACTTCACACTTATTCTTATTTCATTAAAATAATAAATAAGACTTTATCACAGTATTCTTACTTACAGTAGTATTTTTACTTATCTCATAAATAAATTAAATAGTTTTAACTATCACTGGGTGCTAGTGTTATAATTTCGTGATTTTATTTCTTGATCGATGAAAAAGGCTTTTATATTTGACAAAAATGCTTAAAACAAACCACTTAGTGCGAACAAAGTGTATTTTTTAAGTATTTTTATTGAGAATCATATTTTTATGCTTAATGAATATTATTAATGACTGTAGAGTTTTCAAATTGCTTTGAATTGTCCAAGTTAAATATATTAGATAACTGTATACAAATTTTTATGAGTCAGATCGTAACTTCAATTTTTACGTACATACTTAAGGTTTGAAATTTTCTATAAAATGTTTATTGAAATTGTAATTTCCGAAATATATATATCGATGTCTTATCGATGAACAGTAAAATTTCGTTTTTTACTTTACTGCTGTAAATTTTATTATATTAACAAACATTTATATTGTAATAATTATAAATGAATGTAATAATTATTGCAAATAAAATTAAATTCATCTTATAACACTATCGACAGTAGAAGCCAGTAAAGGCAAAACTTGCCACCTTCAAGTTTATATTTTTAATGTAGCTTATAATTTTCAGCAAGGGCTCGGTGACGTTTATATAAACAGGAAAAAGAATGCACAAGCCGAGAATGGTAAAGAAGTCAAATCTAAAGAAGGCGCCTCAGAAGAGTAAGTAAATAAAATGGTAGTGTCTAAATATGATTGTTATATTTGATAGATGTTGCATCCACATGACAAATATCTGTAATGAAAAATTAAAAATGATTGCCTGAACATCGATAAAAATACGCTCATTAGTAACTAAAGTAAAACTGCTTGAGAAATTAATCAGTCCTGTTGGGTCTCGGGTACCTTAATGGTTAGAGCCAAGAAGTTTAGTTAGAGCAGTCGCCCGGATTGTAAAAGGTTGTGGCAGTTCTAACCACAACGGTCCAGGTCCGACATGATCTAGAAAATTTAGTTTCCTACCGGGAATCGAATCCTTAGAGATGGCGTCACCCTGATACAAAGCAAGAAAATCATCTTACTATGGTGGCACAGATACACAAATTATACGGAGGTTATGAATTAAATCTATATTGTTATATTTTCTGCGCTGATTTCCTAATTTATTAGTATATTGTATATACTTCTAATCAGACACTGTTGCATAATTTACAAAATGTCTAGTAATCCGGCTCGAAGGACCATGAAATATTCTTGAAGATATTTGGTAATATTATTTTCGGAATGTTTATTTTAAACAATAAACAATCACTATGTATTCATCATCTTTATTTATTGGAATATTATAATACCATCAAAAACATAACATGTACAATAATGCACAAGTCTCACAACGCAGTTCTTCTGGGGTCAAAAGTTATGAAATCAATGTTAACCAAGTTGATTAATTCAGTACCTGTCTTTCTGTGAGAGCGACTATCCAACCTTGTCATAGATTTATGAACACTTCACAAACGCATACAGCCAATAATCAACTAAGAACTTTTAAACCAATAAAGCACAAAGCCAATAACTTGAGATACCTATATTTTTTTTATGAAACATTAATTTACCATGGTCATGCGTTTGTCAAGTATTCCTAAATATATGACAAGATTGGATAGGAGCTCTCACAAAAACAGATAATGACTTGATTTACATTGATTTCATATATATTATAGTATTTTATTCATAAGATTTATGCTTTCGAAAATCTTTTAATCACGATATAATGGAAAGATATTTATACCAATGAACGCTTGTGTACAGGAGTACTCCGATACCTAGTGACATAACAGTGTGTTACTATTTGAGCATCGCGTACGCATCAACACTCGGCGGCTGCGGCACACTTGTAGGGACTGCCACTAATTCAGCTTTCAAGGGGATATTTGACTCGTGAGTATGATATTAATTCGTCTATCATTATTATTGCATTGTATTGTTTCTCCTAATGAACTAACCCACAGTTTATTTTCATAATTGATATTGTTTCCTTTAGACTACGCTTGGTAGATATTGCTATCTTAGCAAAATCTACCTTTTCTGTGACTATATATTTTTATAGTCATTTTTTGAGATATGATTTTTGTGTAATCAACAATAATTGTTTGTTGTTTTGTAGTGAATTTCCCGAGTACTCATCGTCAGTAAACTTCTTCTGGTTCATGGCATACAGCACGCCCCCCATGCTGCTGATGCAGCTGCTCGTATGGCTAGCACTGCAAGTCACCTTCATGGGCATGTTCCGGTAAGATAATACATCTATATAAAAGAAATCAAATATAAAAACTGGCCATATGCGAGTAAAAGCTTTTGCGTGAGATGGTATACAATTGTGCCGAAAAGACCTCGAACGCTATCGAAAAAATGAAACAATATAAGCACTATATCACAAATAAATGAGAGCAGGAGTACACGATTCGGAGGACCACAGTCACGGTCAGAGATGGAAATAAATATTTCATAACTTGTCTCGTTGCGTCGTCAAAGATTTTTTAAGTTTACAATTAAAGCTAAGACTAATGAGTCCGGATAATCACATATTCGTGATTCTTTTGTATATTAATTTTTCTAGGACTATTATTATATGAATTTTAAAATACAGCAGCGCGTCAATTTACTTCTATTTCCGCAACTCAAGGTTTAAAATCGGATGGGGAAAATTTGACAGTTTTGTAAAACCTCCTGTACGCCGTGAAGTAAAGTATTGTTTTTAGTTTTGTATCTAATTCGTATAACTTAATTCACAATTATTATTTTCGAGAAAAGATTAATCTCGGTTGTAGCATGCGCCTAATTTACAATACATTAGTGGTATATGTATTTTTATATTTACACTTTATATAAAAAGAAGAGAGAAGAAAAAATAATAATATAAGTAATCATTTTCAATTAACAGGCCCAATAGCGAAGCAGCAAAGAAAGTATCCCTCGCCACATCCGGTTCTGACACCACAATGAAAGTCATTAAGGAGCAGTACAGGAATTTGGGACCAATCACATTCCACGAAAGGGTAAGTTCCTAAATGATAAATACAAGTGTATCCATTTACTACAAAAGATTTTATCGAATCTATTTTGAAAATTATTTTCAACACAATAAGACTAAAAATCTATTGGGGTTTGGTGACTTGGGAGAACTAGATTTACTTTTGTCTAAATATACTAAAATAATATACAGGGTTAACTATAATACAACATTATTTTGCTTACTACAGAATGACGATTGAAGTTAATAAAATAACTGTTACTCAAGTGCTAGTGCTGCAATCTGGGCACAGAAATTTGCAGTAATACGTCCTATTGCGGTTATGTTATTATGTCATAACACGACCCCTTTTGTAAGCAAAAATGTGTTCAGAAAAACTAAAGAAATACTTTCGTTCTACAGTCATCCGGGTTGCTGTTCATATTCGCTGTGTTCCTATACATCTTCAGGAAGCCTGGCTTTATGAACGGTTGGGCTGACGTCATGACTTCCATGTGAGTAAACTTAAAAAAGATATCATTAAAATACTATATAAAATCTAATATGTATAATTGTCTTAAAAAGACAACACCATCTTAAATTGAAAGTTATAATACTTGTGTAATAATAAAAAAACAGCTTAAAATAATTATCACTTTCCAAATGTGACTTGATGTTTAATATGTCACATTTGGTAAGTAATATGGTAATATGTACCAGCACCTAAAGTTTTGTTCTTCTTTCAAGGTCAAGTTATCATTTTACATTCAAAAGGGGTAGGTGTCTTTGAAATAAAACATGAATTGTCACAATTTAGTGGGATAATAAGTATACCTTTTTTTTCGGCGAATGCTAACTTCAATATGAATCTTACCTGCAATCATGAATTATATTATAAAAAATTGAGACACCTAGTACCAAAACAATTTCGGCAATAACGGGGGCGATAGTTAGATTAAAAGTTCAAGATATTCCAATTATAGGAGTAGGTGGAATCTAGACAAATAAAAAATTTGCTTTACAAAGTAGATAATTTATTTCATTAGAGGTTACGTATTATTTTTCGATAACGCGTCATTTCCTTTCATATATTCCTTTTTTTCTCATACACCTTATCTCTCTTTCATCCATCTTCATATGTTGCGTTTCCTGCAAATGTAAAATGAAAAAAAAAATGATAGTATATTGCTTGATATATGTTTGTATGTTAATATATTGTCGTTTGTTAACAGGAAAGTGAAAGACGGTGTGACATCTATGTTCATAGTGGTGCTGATGTTCATTATACCGATGTCTATGGACTGTGTTAAGTTCTTCAAATCGTCTAGCTCCTGTGAGTAGAATGATAAAATAAGGGCAATTTTTCAATTAAAAAATATTATATACGAATATTACAAAGAGGAAATTTTTTGAATTTGATGTTTGTTTGCATATTCAGCCTCCGAAATTACTCAAATGATTTTAAAACTTTATACTTCGGGAAGCTGCATCATACGCGGGTGACATAGGCTATAATTTACGGGGGCGAAATCGCGAGTAAACAGCTAGTAACATATAAAACTGATCATCATCAGAATGTCCTCACGATTGCAGTACATCTTCTATATTGATGGAACCACATAAGGAAAACGAGACAAAACCTTTCATTTGGACCCACTTTAGATTGGTCGGTGCTAACGGCTGTAGTTACAGCCGTAACCAACGGCTAAACGTACCTTCCGAATGATGGAAAAGCTCCAGTTAATACATTTTAGGTCAGCCATCCCATGATCGGTACTTGCGAAAGTTGCGCAATCGAGCTCCACATGCGAATATTCTTTTGCTAGAAATTTCCACCTTTGTTGCACTTTGATTTTTCCACATTGTACTCAGTACTACCGACATTCTACAGTCTACTTTTTATTAAGGGCTTATCTGCGCGTTTCACACAATTCTGCCAACGTCAAGTGAATAAATTAATTTCTACATGTAAAATGAAAATGAAATGAATGAAAGATGTCGATGACTTCCATTCTATAGTCTTTTTCACATAGGTACGGTGACGTTTGTGGTTTAAAGTTTTTTGAGCTTAATATAGAAAACAGTAACAGTGCATATAATTATTAGCACTCAAGTGATAAACGCCCAGTGTCTGATTAGGGTAGTTTCGGTAGTGAAAAATAAGTCACGAAGTTGCACAAAAACTAAATTTATTTAAAAGGTATGATAACAGTATGTAATGTATTGTCAAAGAACAAGCGTTGTTATTATATGTTACCAATCAAGTTCTGCAAGATTGTTTATTGGTATTTCTCAAATAACCCTGTATATATCTTAAATAATAGTTTTTCTATTTTTATCTATTGAATAAAATAAATAATATTATTTTAGATGAGGAATTGGCTGCATCTAAACCATCTACAGGTATTGTCACATGGGGTATATTGAAGGATAAAGTACCATGGGGCCTTCTCTTCTTATTAGGTAAGTTATTACAATACATACTTATAAAGTTTCAAGTCATGTCAGTTTGTCATGAATTAGTTTTGTGGTAAGATAAATTAGGCTGATGTTGTTTATTATTTTGTTTTTTTACATCTCAACACTGCTATAATCATAGACATATAATAGTGTAGTTTCAGTGGTGAAAAATAGGTCATGAAATTGGACAAAATTAAAATTTACACCGTTATAAACATAGATATTCTGATTTTGAGTTTTAAAATCGCACGTTTATCTTATTTTCTTAAAATTAAAAGTCTTGATTTTTAGTCTGTGTGTCATGTGACTTCAAAAGACCCGCCTTAGTGTGGCTTCACTGGGGCGACAACTGTCTGATTAGTTTTATAAAGATATGCTTAATAATTGTAAATCAAATTTCAAGATGGCGCTGTTGTTAGATGGCATTGTTCTTGTTTTATTGCCATCATTTAATCTTCTATAAAAACAATGACGTCATTAAATATGACTGACAAGGTTTTGCGGGTATAAAAAAAGTTTAAATTTTGGTTTAATATTAAGTATTATTTCAAACAGAGTAGGGCAGTAGAAACTAAATAGGGTTTAGAAGATAAAGTAGATGCAAAAATGTCTATAAACACGTTTTTACTTATATTGGGTATGTTCCGATATACACTGCGAGCACTGCGCAGTGGTCTTACTGCTGAAAAATCCGTTCCGTTATGGACTGCCAGTACACTGCTACAGTACCCTAGGGAAATTCATGACGTCATAAATTGCCGCCATATTTGTACTGTGAGCACTGGAGATTTCGAGGTAAGGTGCTCGCAGTGCTTTTGATCACGTGATTAGTCGAAACAGAATCAGAAAATGATAAGTTTCTAAATAAACAAAAAAAAAATACTTACGTTTATTATAAGATGGATGTAATTGATAAATAATTTTATTTTCCAATTTTATAATATTTTCTTTTGAAAAGAGGGAATCTTTATATTTATATTCACCTTGCATTAACAAATTTGAAAATGGCGCCAAAAAATAGGATTAACAGTATACTGGACTGCGTTCCGTTTTAAAAAGTCACCAGTATAACTATCTATAAAGGAACGGGCTTCCAGTATACTAAATTGACGTCATACTGTTCAGTGGTCGCAGTGTATATCGGAACATACCCATATCACCATATGACCAGATGTTAACGATGAGAATCCGTTTTGGCTGTGTCAGCCCCATTAAAAATACGATCTAGTTTGCATTACAGTCACTAACTTCCAATTAGTTTTAAATAAGTTTATTAATCAAACAATATACAAATAAGTTGATTTAAACTAATTGAAAGATATTGTATTGTGATACCTTATCGTCTTTATGGTTTTTTATGTAATTCCAAACTGTCGATGGAATTGTGTGTAGTTGATAAATAAAACGTATTATCTATATATCAATTCAGGCGGGGGATTCGCCCTAGCGGAAGGCAGTAAGGCTACAGGCCTGTCCCGTAAGATCGGCTCCTCGTTAGAGGGACTGCGAGACTTGCCTCATCCGCTAGTACTGCTGGTAGTGGTTCTGGTCACACAGTTCATCACCGAGTTCACGTCTAATGTCGCCATCGCTAACCTTATACTGCCCGTGCTAGCCAACATGGTGAGTTGCATATTAGTATAATATCAAAGATTTATGTACTATCCATAGGTCGCTGGTTCATATCCTGCTCGAAGGACTGAATTATGTTGAAACAATAGTAAAGCTTAAGAAATAAATAAAGTAACTGCTTTATTTTTTTTATATTGTGGTTATTTATTATGTCATAACTGAAGTACATGTACATCCGCCATTGTGTGATCTTTCTTTTAATTACGACACTGCCCAAAAGCGAGAAAAAAGTACGTTAATTTTGCATATCGCATGCATTTTTTTTTCTGGTAGTGTTTAATGTACTATTACAATGATAATATTGCTTAATAATACTCCTTATTATATTTATAATAAACTAATTATGAAAAAAAAAAAACATATTTTATGCTCACGTTTCTTAGAGAATTTAACCTTATGAATATATAGAACGATATTCGAACAGAGTGCCGTGACATCTTAGCGATGCCATGAAAGAAGTGGCGCTTTCGCGGAAAATTTAGAAAATTAAATTTTTCTTTATAATATATATATATTTTTTAGATATATTTCATGTATATTTATAAGAGTAGCTCGGCGTAGAGGATAAGCGCCGCGGCCCGCGATCGTTGTTGTTAAGCAACTTTCGCAAGGGTCGGTCACGGGATGGGTGACTAAAAAATTATTCTCTCGAGCTACTTCTTGCTTCGGAAGGCACGTTAAGCCATTGGTTCCGGCTGCATTTGCAGTCGTTAATACCCTCCAATCCGCATTGGGCCAGCGTGGAGGGTCATGGCCCATCCTCCTTAACCATCCATAACGAAGGCCTGAGCCCCTGCAGTGGGGACGTAAAAAGGGCTGATGATGATGATGATGATAATGATATCTATAAAATAAAGTTGTCTACACCCCTATTGTATACGTTCATATATGTCCGTCGTCAGTCGAGCACTAAATCTAACAGTTAGCGCGCACCATACATCGTTCATGGAATCCAATAAGAGATATTACCGATATGAATTTTTAAATTTATGACATTCATTATAGCTTAAGTTCGTCATAAAAATTAATTAACGTTTGTGCAACTGGGCGTAATTCCTGTAAAGACTCATCACAGCTTGCGAGCCAAACGGAAAAAGAATTGATTTAGCTACCAACTTAGCTGTCCTTTTAGCACTGACAGTAAAAAAATATTCGCGGCACATCAGACGCTATGCTAGCTCGTTAGCAGTCGACTAAATTGTGAGGTTTTGTTTATAAAACGATTAGCGAATTGTTTATCCGTACCGCAATATTTTGACAAATATGGTAGGTTCAAACTCCTTTGATACACTAATGACCACACAAGGCCAATACTGGCCTGGCTTACTGGACTGTCTCGACTACTGGCATCGAGTTAAATGGTTTATAAGTCCCTAGTAAAATCTTCGCTGCCGTAGAAAACGTATGATTAAAATTTATAAATAATATATCGTATTATTATAATCGTAAAGTACAAAATATAAAACATTAATTAAGGATACATATCAAATACGAATTTATCACTATTTTAATCGGAATCAAGATAAAACAACAACAACAAACCTGAGATTTTTGTGATTCTACAGAAAATTAAGATAAAATGGAAATATAATTTTCTGCCATCTTGTAAAAGTCCCAAATCAACAAGAATGTGTCAAGAATTCACAGCTAATTGCGTAACTAGTTTTAAAAATATAACATAAAGTCTCAAAGTACCTAATTACAATGATTACATATCGTTTCCGTTCTATAATTGTTATTAACAATAATTAACAAGTGTATTATCTGTACAGTCTCGCAGTCTACACATCGACCCTCGTTATCTGATGGTGCCCGCTACACTAGCATGCTCCATGGCATTCCATATGCCAGTGGGAACTCCACCTAACGCCATTGTAGCCGGAGTTGCCAACATACCTACTGCTAGAATGGTAAGTATATCTTTCCATGAGTGTCTCCACTTCTAGGGCACTTTTCCTACCGACAGAATTACAAAAAACGCGACGCCAGTGTGGATTGGTGATTACGACTATAGATCCTGCTACTGTTAAAAACATAGCCCGAGATAAGAAAATTTTATTCACCATTTATCTATTATAGGCCTTTGTGAAAATAGCTTAATACCTATAACTTACGAGTACCTCGATGTAACGTAATAATCTCGTCTTAATTATTTGCGTTTTGCCATTTTACTGTCTACCTGAAGTCCAATATTAAGTCCAATATATCCTCACAAATCAATAGTGATAAATGCTAATTTTATTATCTAGTAACAAAAACTTTTGCATAGTTTTCGATATTCACGAGCATGCTTGTAACATCCTAGGTTGAATAAATGATATTGAATTTTAATTTGTATCAAAAGGACTTCTTATGGAAGCAATAAATACACTAACATTAGCAAAATTAGGGCCCTGTTCATTTTTAAACTATCGCGTTGCATTATATTAGATTGTATAACGTATAACGGGTATTCACGCGATATATTTTGATAGTTAAGTTTTTCGCGTACCTATATTTCCCGACGTTTCGACCAGGTTACACCAGCCGTGGTCGGGAAATATAAGTAGGTGAAAAATATAACTATCAAAATCTACCCTGTTAATTAAGTCTGTAATCAAATTAAAGTTAACTAATACTGGTATTTAATGTACTTGAGAATCTCAACAGTAGGGTTAAGATCTATGTTAGCGTAAGTGCTAGAGCTGTAAATTAGTTAGCAAAAAGATACTCGAATTCATTTGAGTTATTTCATGATGATATAATATTTAACACAATAAATAAATTCTGTTTTTTTTTTCCAAACAGGCTGTCGGTGGTATCGGACCGAAAATAATCACCACATTATTAGTTTGGGGAGCTTACCCAACATGGGGCTCTTATATATTCAAACCATTGAGTAATGCTACTGAAATCATAGGGGCTACGAATGGTACGACTTTAAGCCGCAACCTCACTCTAACATGCGGCGTAGCATTAGAAACGCTTAAAAACAGCGGGAGATTCCAATGCGGTATGTCGAATAGTATAGCTAATAGTACCGCTTTAGCAGATATAGCTAAAGGTATGTTCAAATGTGATTATATTAAGAAGAGGTAAGTTAGCTATTTAAGTATAAATAATCGGTGCTTAAGTCGACTTTCGACGTTACTGTGATCTGAGTTCGATTAGGGGAATTGGTGACAGAAAAAGAAATTTTCGGAAACTGATTCATTAAAGTTCTTGGGGAGTTTCCGTTTTTTTTTTCATCGAAAATTAGAAGTCTGATAAAGTAGTAGAAATGACTTATTGTACGGATAGTAACAAATAATGAGTAATTTTTATTCATTTATGTTTTTTAATATTCTAAGAAAACTTGGCCAAAATTTACTTAAAACTAAAACTGAGAAAGGCTCTTAATGCCTCGAACTAAAGATGTCACACATTGGTTACATCTAATTTAAAATGTTTTGAAAAATTGGAATGAAATCTAAGTTGTTGCTGTCCGTACTTAACACTCTTTACAAATTCAACTCATAAAGAATACAGAACATTTTACATATTTGTATATTTTTATATTTACAATAGTGTAATATTATATTTTAAATCCTGTCATATGCATTTGCGTTATGATCTGTGTTTCGATAGATTTTTTTATTATCTTGATAAGATTCCTTCAATTGATTTTATACTTTATTTGCTTGAATTTTTTAGTTCAAATTTTAATGAGGAAGTATTTAATTTATTTAAGAAAGTAATTTAAAAAGTTCGAAACTTATATATCAATACGAATACGAAAAAGTACAAATAAGATAGAAGTTGTTTATTGAATTTTGAAAACTAATTTACTTTTATACGTGAAAGAAAAGCGGAAGGGTTGTCATGGAGAAATCATGAAAGTACCGTAGCGACATCTAGTTTGATATTGGGAACTAATGTTTTTTAAATACTTCTTCATTATAGTTTGACAATCTGTAGGAAATATTTTATGTACTATAGCACCAGTATTGTCTATGTGACCTTATATAAGAGCAATAAAAGTACCTTAAATGGATATCTATTCCTGTAGGAGTCAAATAAAAATACACGTAAATCCATTGAGTAAAGTTGAAAATGGTATTCCACAGCATACCAGAATCGAATAGTGTGTTAAAAAACGTAATATTTTTGGTTTCATAATAAAGATAACGTTTTAAATTCAAGATAATGGAAGATGACCTACTATTTTGGAAATATATTATTCTTTACGTACATTTCAAATCAAACTTACGGATTACTATATGTTCTTGATACTTTCCAAGTCGAAACACGGAACTTAACAAGCATTTAACAATAGAAGTAAACTGGTACAATATTATTTTTGTAAACCTATACATATATTGTGATGCGTAAAGTCGACCCACCGGCTTACAGTGAAATATATTGCCAAAAATATATAAAGAATATATGTTCTAATACATATATTTATACACTTTAGACGTAGCGGGAAAGCGGGTGCGGAATATAAAAATAATTATATATAGCAAATGTAAGCCCCAATAGGGAAATATTACTGTTGTTTTATTGTAGATGACGTCACCGAGCTACGATTCAAACATCTAATGAAGTTGTGATCACTTTCGTGGATAAAAATAAAAGTCTATATATTTTCTGCGTAATACCTTAGTTAATTTTTCGTTTAATGTAATAATTTTGAACTGCTTTGAATATTCTTAATTTTTGTTTTATTGTATTTAAGTAATTTTTTTTTAAACTTTACGCGGTCACTAAAAAATCTCGAGATATTAGTCTAGTCTGAAAATAATCCAAAACTCTAAGTAAATATGAAAAAAACATTATATACACAAAAAATTTGTTTTGGAATTGTTTTAAAATATAATTTATTAGCAAGTATCAAACTCCGGTTTACCTCGTAAGTCGGTGACGTCTCTTCTGTGATGCAATAATAAGATATGAGTGTGTATTTATTTATAATAATTATGGTATTTTCCACCTATTTGACACTATAGCAAAATATTTGAAACCAGAATACGACCTTTTCTTAGGGTATTAATTTTAACAAATAAATCTCAATTTTTTTTATCAGGAATCTCATTTTTTATAAACGAGTATTAGTATTTTCTCCGTGTAATATTTCAACTTAATTAGAATGAAAAGATAAATCTTTCAAAAGCTTCTATGCTACAGAAAAGGATAGCTGCTAAAGTATGCCATACGAGTGAAAGAGAACGAGATACCTTTCATTCAGCATAATAATAAAGCTTTTGATAATTATTGTACCAATGATAAGGTTTTAGTAGAATTTTTATGAACATAATTATTATTGGTGATTTAATTAAGTCTTTATTTACAATTGTTTGTCTCAAAGTATATTTAATACCGAGAGTATTTATAATATCAATTATCCTTTAACTGATACGCAATTGATACATAATCAAGTAAGTGTAAAACTCAGTTATTTGGTTTTTAGAGACATACAGTGTAAACTCTATATAACATTGTAATTTATAACGAGTAACTCCCTATAAAGTAAGTAATTGAGCCCAACTTGGTTGGTTTGCGTTTAAACCCACATGTTCATACAGTCTTTATATTGATACAACAAACATTATCCATATAATTGTTTATGTTATCTTATCAAGTAATAAAATACTTTGAAGCTTTGAAACATCTGAGGTTCTAAACGTCGGTTTTGCTTTTCACGTTCGGTCCATTGAGATTCGTTATAAGGAGTTTACACTAGGTAAGATATTTATGCGTTTTTGTGAGATCGCTAATCAATTCCTGATCTATCTGTCAAAATGAAGCCTTGAGTGATCTGTCCGGCAGAACAGATGACGTTTGAAAGTCACATTTTCAATAGTCAAAATATTATTTCGCGTGAAACTCTGACAATTGATTTATCATCCTGTCAGATCAATCAGGGCTTCATTCTGATAGATCTATCAGGTCTTGAAGTTACGCGGTAGAGTCGAGAGTTCAAATTAGGGTTCAATTTAATCTGAAGCATTTGCTTGTAATATAACATTTTGGATTTGATTTTGTAATGTTTCTTTTAGCCTGTAATTTTAGTTATGTAACTGTATTGAGTAATAACTTTCAAATAACAGTACCGCCCGTATATTACGTATAATTTAAAACTTTTAAAACATAAAGATTATTGCTCTTTGATGTGACGTTTATTTGACAAGTTCAAATCTAAGAAATACATCAGTATATCAGGTTATTACAATAAGTCAAAATTTATGCAAGTGCATGCGAAAAAACGGATAGTGACTCCAAGTATTATTATATGTGAACGTCGAAAGAAAACGAAACGTTTCGGTATCCATAAAACTATATGGTTATCGTGACGAACAGCTTATTCTTGTAAGGGCTGGGTTTAATAATCTATGGCGTCCCGTACATCCAAACAGTTCTATGCGGAAATGATACAGAGGTCTATGGGTAGCGATACGTATGGTTTTCTTTGGTAGTTTTTTTCAGTTCAGTTTTTTTCGCCTGAAACATACTATATCAATAAATTACAGCTAAAAATCTATTCAAAGATTTTGAAGTTTTGTAATAACCTCACGTGATGTCGACTGTGCAAATGTTAAAATTAAAGAGAAATAAATAGAGTGCCTGGTGAATATTATCAACAAATTATATTATATTATATTATATTATAACTTGTAATAGTCGTTTCTTTCTTTATATATTGGGTGTAGCTGTGATGGGAGGTTTGTAGATGATATATAAATATTTTTTTAAAGAGTTATATTTATATGTGATTTTTTAAATTTCTTTTTATATGAACATAATTATATAAAACTAAGGTTAGATGTACTAGTATTTAGTAATAATATGTATTTATTTGTGGATACAAATGTAAATCTTGCTGTATGTTAAGAAATGTCCTAATTGTATTGTGTAGAAATGTATGGATAGTGTAGTATTATATTTTTATATATAAATATGTTGGTGTCGATTTCGATGCCAAAATCACTTAATAGAAATGAATATGACAAGGACAGCTTACAAATCGAAAAATCCAAATCCGATATTAAAAAGTTCAATTAAGTCCAAAATTGAATACATCTACTGAATGTTAGGTTATTTGCTCGGAAATTTACAGCATTTATAATTCTCTATTCTTTTCATAAAATGATGTCACATACTAGAAGGAAATAATAACTTTCCGTAGTTTGCATCACATATGTTGTGAATGAGAGAATCTAGCCTTAGTCTAATTATGCTAACCTTTGCATATCTAGGAAGAAAAAGTATGCAGTGTATTTAAAATTTAGTTAGTCTCTGCCGGTTTTATAATAAACAGATATCGTATGCCAACGATACTATTTTGTCGATCATTTAGCAAAGAAGTATTTTTGGCCTTTTTTACCTTGTATACTACGAGCACACCAGATAGAGACTTCATTTTATTCTTTTTATATTCATTTTATAATTCTTTTATAAGTCGTAAATTTTGCCACAATAAACAATGAAACAATTGAATATCGTATGTGATGTAAGTAGTTAACGGTGACCGAGACGAACTAAATCCAAACATCAGTCTAAAATATGTTTAAGTTTTATTTTTAATGCATGTAAACTTAATTATTTTTGTATTTGTAATAATTACATATAAATAATGTAATTAAATTAATAAACATCTATATTCAAGTGATAATTGGTATTTCACTTATTTATATATTTTTTTTAAAGTCTATGTATTATTAGTTGTGTCCGAAAGTGTTCAGTAAATTAGTTGCAAATAAAAAAAAACTGTACTGTTTATTATATTTTTGTCAGTAGTTCATGTACATGCTCATTTTGTAAATAGCTAATCGGAGGATTTTTGTTAGTTGTTATGATAAAATAAATTATTCTAAAAATAAACTGTCATTTTTTTGTATACCTATACAAACTTTCAATATAGATGCGAAGCAAAAAATATAGCTATACTTATTTGACAGTCAATCCTAGTTCTTACTGTTATGGCAATAAAGCGTACTGGTTTTTATACGTTTTGGCTGCTTTTCAAGCTCCGTGATCGCTTCGTATTTGTCGTTTTAAATGTTTTGTGAACTACAAAAACGGGGTTTTAAAACCGATTAAAAATGAAAAACAAAAATTTAAAGTTTCTCTTTACGTTTCATTAAACGCTAAAATAACGATGCCAACTCATGAATAATAAAAATATGCAATTTTAATTGAATTATCTAATTTATTATGACAATACAGTTCCTTAACGGACATTTGAAAATGTCGATCATAACTGATCTACATTTTCAAATGTCCGTTAAGCTTAAAAACTAATAAAATGCTTACTAATATCGCCACGCCATATCATTAATGTAGTATCTACAAATATGCAACTTTACAGGAGAGCGGTTTAAAGATGAAAAGTTGAATAAAAACGATATTTTAAGCGTTAGGATAACGAAATTAGGCATGGGTGTTTTTTATTCTACGATACATTAAACAAATATAATAGATTAATTTATTTTACTTTATATACGTTACAATGTCACGTGAAGGTATTTTACACGGACATATTTTACTATCTTACGCAGGATGTGGTAGATCCAACTTTTTTTTGTTGTATAAAATTCTATACTACGTGTCAGATGTGGCACATTTAACATTTTTGACTAGATTCAATTCTGTACAATAAGTCGGATATGGTAGGTATGAAGTTTTTGATCGGAAAACTAAGTATATTTTGTTAACTTTCCTAGATACGTTGTTTCTTATACCAAAAAAATGGAAATAATTTGCTATACAAAATTATAAATTTGAAATCTATTTTATTAATAAAATATGAGTGGCAAGTCTTTATATAAAGTTAATAACTTTGTAATATTACCTGTATCATACATGCACCATTTTCAACAACTGCGTTTTTTGGTAAAATAAGGCTTAAAATCCTTGAGGATCTGCTTCTTTGCGGTCGACCGACATTATATCTTTTGAAATCAGAGTGTATGTAATGTTTTACAACAATTTGGGACTCCAAAGAACCTACGTGCATTTTTCCCGACATTAACTATGTAACTGGCAGATCGACGCCAGATCGACACATCCACCCGTCGTTTATGTCCGGTCAAAATTGACTGTTAGTGAGTACCTTCATTTTTGTACGTACACAAGCGTCACTACCGACATTAATAACGTAATTATCTTCGTAATTATAATAAAATCAACAATTATTTTTTTGTGATATTATTCCTTACACCCTTTTATGAAGTTTTATACAAAAAAACAAAAATCGTTAAAATGCAGATCCCACATTAATGATAGGGCGTGGCGATATGTAAAATAAAATTTTATTTTCCACAATACTCCAAACACTTTACGTCAATACATTTTTAAAGAAATCATCAGCCCAAAGAGACGCAAGATGTATGTCGTTCCATATCGCGCGCGACCACACCGCCACTGCCAGCCATGCCACCGTCACCGTCATTACCGAGGGCCCCAGACCAGCAGACATCTGAAAAACCTTTTGACCACTTACAAAGCCATTAGCTGAGTCAATTCAGTAAAAATAATAGGATAGAAAATTCTATTTCATTGGACTGCCATGAGGATTATTTCCATTAACATGATGCTAATACTGGACTGGCTTACGGTTTATGTTTATGGACATAAACCTCAAGCTATTAATTAAGCCAGTCCAATGAAATAGAACGGTTTCTAATTTTACTTATTTGGCTCGGCTACTGACTTCGTGTAAACAGTCCCTTATTTCTATCTAGCTATCTAGTGCAGAAAAATATAGAGTATAACACAAAGTATGAATGTAAACGATACGTATTTGCCTATTGTTGTATAGGATCAACAGCACGTCAGATTTTACAAGACTATCCAATTTCTCCACTTGGTTTTAAACCTTAATTTATTGGGGGTAGAGTTCAAAATCAACTGCAGAAATTTGACACATTATAGTAGCTTTACATGCAACCGTATGTACTGGGATTTGTGACCTATTGGCGTATATATATCGTGGCCAGGCGGGGATATGTAACAAAGAGTAGTATTATTATATTTGTCAAGGTATCGTCAGTGACAGTGACAGCCAATTGACAGATAGGGATACCCGTAGTGTAAGCAATATAAAGTGCTGCTAGTAGTAGTCGATCCTTTACCCTCTTACAATAACCTTAACTTTCACAATACACACCATATTCCATGGCGGTATATGAACGTAGGCCGCCACCATCGCGTACACAGGCGACCCTGTGATAAGATGGAACGGCAAGGAGCAGCCGAGAGTCGCAGCCATCATAAGATATTGAGGATTTACAGAACTAGCGACACTCTGCAAAAGAAATGTATTCAGTTCAGCATAATTAATCATGTCTTTTTTATTTATTTAATCTTAATTGCCTAGTGAAATAGGCAAATGGCGGACTTAATGTCAAAGAGGCATTCTCTACCAGTCAACCAGTAATTTTAGCACAAAACTCAAAGATATGTATGTTATGCTATTGTTATTTCCACAGAACACGGACGTCTTTCGGTGTTCTCTGGTTATCCCTACATAAGAACTATATCTAAATATATAATAAAAATATATATTTATCTCAACATCAGACGAATTCTACTAATGTTTACGTTATAATTGCATCACAATGATTTGCATTTTAACATTGTATTCCAATTAATATTAGTGCAATGTCTTCCTCACATGTCAATAGTTATATAATTATATTAGAGTTCAGGTAACTACTATAATGGCAAATTGCAAATAATTGAGAATTGGCCTACTAGCCCTTGCTGATTGATGGTAACAACTGCAGATGTAATAAATTTTTGGTCACCCATCCTAGAACTTATTGCAAAAGTTGTTTAACCTTCGCACGGAATTTTATTTCTAATATGAGGAAATATAAATATGAGGAGTTCATCATCAATACCAGACGGGCAAAACTAGGCAGCACGCAATAAGCCACGCATGGGTTGGCGGCAAATTCCGTGAGCAATTTGCACGCTAAGATGGCGACCAACGCCAGCAATGATGCCGGCCAGTCTGCTATCGCCAGTAGAGGACGCTCCAGCTCACGTATCATGCCAGACTCCTTCAGAGCTTCTACAGATGCACAACTGCTTGCTGGTACAATAAGCAGAAGGGTTAATATTACAAAGTGTTCTTAATTAATGATAATACATTAACCCTTCGAAAACCATCATTTTTAAACAACCTCAGAAGCAGAGTGATTCGCTCGCCGGTTTCAAGGTGTCGCCATCTCTGAGGTCCCAGGTTCTTTTTATATGTGTAATTAGAATGAAATTCGAAATATAATATCTGAACTCCTACTATTTATAGCACAAAATTGTTAGGCGTGAAACTGATGTAATAACTGTGCTAACATAAGTATTATTGGAGCTAATAAAATATTGATTTTGAACGGATTTTAATTTGATTTATAAGTGTAAAAATAAGTAGACAGAACCCTGTCAAAAAGAAACATAACATTTTACAATAATGTTTTTTAAACCTCTTAATTGTCAATTATTTCCAAGCAGCGTCGAGTAGGTTTTATTAGATAAAACCTACTCAACGCTGCATTTTTACAGAATAGGGGGTAATGGAAAGCAATGGAGGGAAGAAATACGTTGGTTTAATCACACGTTCAAATTATTGGTAGGTAGCGCCATCTGGCTGTAGAATTAAAATTAAAATTTTATGCGGGGAAAAATGTATATTTCCTTCTGATTGTAACAATTCGAATTCTCGATGTCCGAGTCTAATACGTGTTGAAAAGGTTGTATAAGCTATTCGCAATTAAGGTAAATAATGTTGTAAATTAACTTCTTGCAATCACCTATGACAAACAGCATCCCCCAGTCCATATTGTGCTGAACATAATTCCAGTTTAAACACGAATTGCTTCCCGAAGTGGGTAGAGATTCGACGTTATCACCTATATGAAATCACGTTTGATAAATCTATACTATACTAATACTAAAGCTAAAGAGTTTGTTTGTTTGATTGAACTATAAAATCTTCAAGAATTACTGGAAGGAATTAAATTATTATTTTTGTGTTGAATAGTCCACTTATCGAGAAAGGTTCATAGGCTATATTATACTATCACGCTATGACTTATAGGCAGTGGCGTAACGTAGTGGGGGCGGGGGCATTTTTTAGGGGACGACAAAATTTTAGAGTAAACAATAAAATATTTATTTTTAATATTTGAACCAATTCATATTTTTAAAGCAACTATAAATTCGGACCGAATGAAAAGAGCACGGAATTTTTCATAACTTATTTTGTGACGAATGCCGGAAAATTCTTTAAAATTAATGAATATAATGTATAGTATAATTATATAAAATACCTAATTAAGAGGGGCGGCAAAATTGTATTCCGCCCCGGGCGGCATACACCCACGCAACGCCACTGCTTATACAATTATAGACCATTCCTATAAGTCCTATAGCACCAACGAAAAATGTTACAAAAAGGGGAGAATATTTTTTACCTTTTTAAAGACTTCCATGCGTGCGCTGCGCTGCATAAACGGTGAAAGTTATGCAAAAATCGTGTATTACGAAACGTGGCAGCATATGTCTATCTTAACCCACATTATAAAAAAGCATACAAAGGGGCGAAAATGGGCGTGGAAGTTCGTATAGGGCATTGAATCGTTACCGTTATCGTTACCATTGTTTACAATTCAATTTGTAATTTAAAACAGCAGTTCGATTGGGCGGCTAGCCATTTAATTGGGTGCGCCATTCAATTGCACGCCAAGTATTCTAGTTGAATCATTATGACAATTAGATCGTTCAACGAGACGGCTGATTTAAAAGTTTGATAACACTCAATTGGTCGGTTGATTATACCACTTGGCTGCGACATATATTATGATAGTATGTACATGCGAAATTTACGTAGGTGTACCCGGTCGCAAGTCAGGCTAGCACAATATGTGAAATTTCCTTAATTGAACTTTTCCTACAATGCATTAAAGTTTAAATTCGAGTGAATAAAATTGTCAGTTGTGTATAGTCTGAGGTACTGCTGACTGTACCAACCTTCTTTTTTGAAAAATCTAATAAAGTCCAAGTTGACAGGAGTTATAAATAACAGGATCACACATATTAAACACGGCGCTGATATTCTCAGATGACTGTAAAACAATATTTTTAGACTTTTTAAATGTCGACTAGAAACATCAATTTATCATTATTGAATCGTCTATTAAAACTTTTTTTTTCTTTTCTATTCAAACATATAGGTATAAAGTTTTACCTGTGATTTTCTGAAAATCTTTCGATATATGGTGAACTTAAGCATGTTTGGAGAATACAAGCGATTATTACTATCACAGCAACAACCTGTAAATTTCCAAAACAATTATTAAGGTATCTGAGGGAGATGGATTCCAAATTGAATTTAAATCTATAAAAAACATTTTAAGTGATTGATTACCATAATATCCGTTTATATTACAACGGATAATACGGGTCTGTATTCATTCATAGAGTAACCCCAAACTTACACCAGGTTTTTGTATTAAGAATTTAAAGCTAAACACACCTCAAACTAAACTTAAACGTCACTTAATTGATTTGCGTTCCTGATTTTAGTTTTTAACGATCAGTTGATAGCAGTTTGATAAAATTAGGACTTTGCCTTGTGAAATCTAAAAAACTTGGGTTATTCAGTTGAGATTTTGTACTTTTCTCAATTACATAAGAATTATAGTTTAATAAACTTGAATATATTAAATTAATTAAGTAATCATCTTGCTATTAATTTGATTGTGCTGTGCTATGATACTGTTTGATTTTTAATAACATTAACACACCACTTCGTGACAATTAATGCTTCGAAGTTGTTGATATTGCGTCTTTAGTAGAGTGTTTATGTAGAGAGCTTCCTCCTCTGTCATACCTATTTCCAATGCTATATCACTATGAGCCCTGTTAAAAACATTATTGAAAAAAGAAATGTAGTTTTAATATTTACTTAATATAAGTACGTGATATCACAATTAATCGTTGGCAACATACAATCCCTTTCTTTCTCTATCCAGCTTTTGCATTAGCTTTACGATAACATTCTAGTTCATAATCACAATAGACCTAAAGAATTATTTAACGCCGTTTTATTTATTAGTATCATTTTATATTACATTTTATAGGTAATCTGGCTCACGCATGTAGCACATCGATTTTATTGCATAACCATATACAGAAATATTAGCAAGATCACTGAAAACAATGCGCATTCCATGCAATCGAATTTGGTTATGTATAAACGGAAAGTTAACGGAAAACGGCGTGCAGAAGTTATTAGGTACATCAAAATGCGAATTTTAATTACAGAATCACATTAGCTCGACATATTTGAATTAATTATAAGATTTTCAACACATACTTATTTGAAGATACTAATTAATTGTAGTTATAAAGCAAATCTTACTCAAGCAGCTTATAATATCATTATATTTATCAAACAACCAATTTGGTTGCTAAAAAATGAATAGCTAATGGAAAATGGAAAGTTTGAATAACGTTGAATCAAACCGAAACATTCCGAGGAAGTAAGAGTTCATCCAGAGGTAGAGTAGAGTCTCCATGAGCAATACCCCGGGCAAGGTTAGCAGGATCACTTGAGGGAACTCGACAGGAGGATTCAAAGGAAACAAACTACATTAGAACACGAAACATAATTTGTATGAGCAACGATGTTGTCGGTTTGCTTTTACACAAATCACTGATATGATATACTTTTTTATAAATATCTGGCACCGACCCAGTGGCGTAACTATGCTGTTTAAGGCCTGTGGCAAATTCATCGGATATTCATTTTTTTTGTTATTTGCTTAATAATAAATGTCAGGAGTAAGGAGTCTCCTCTGACCGGGGGCCACTTCCAGCGGGGGGCCCCGAGGCATTTTGCCGACTTGCCATTCTCTAGTCACGCCACTGCACCGACCTCAAAAAAATGTTGGCGCATCCACTTTTGTCTTTCGATTATATTGGAGGTAAAAATTGTGATAAGTATTATTTCTCGCTTTCAGTGGTTTTCCTTTATTGCGATAATTTTGAAGTCAATGTAGTTTTGTCTATAAATTTTTATTTTTACCTTTCAGAGTATAATTTGAAGATTTGTATTGTTTGGCTTCCTATGATAGTGGCCATGCTTCCTAAAACGAATACAAATAGTAAATTAAATGTTACTGAAACGGAGAACATTCTTGATAACTTACTTGGTTAGGGATAAGGTAAAACATGAATTAAAAACAATATCAGGTACTCCCTCTGGCAATGTGATTGATAGTCTTTTAAGTAGTACAAGATAGGATCACCTATTGATGATGAATAAGCTATTCCGAGAAAATAGAAAACGGTGAAATTGGTTGGTCTAGGATTTCTGAAACAAAAATATCCGTATTTATTTACGCTAAATGAAAGCATTATTGTGTAATAAAATAGATTTAAAACAATTGCGGCTGTAGTAGCATATTATTACCTCTGTTCATGGCGTTCGGATGTTTGTTTTTCTTTTCCTATAACTTGATATATCTCTAGAATTCCCATCTGAAAGTAGTCACTAAATAAGACAAATCGTCGTTTATAATTAGAGAAATTCGATGAAGCAGTGACTGGCGCGTTCGATTTGCAATGCAGAGGTTAAGAAATAGTCGGTAATAAGGTGAGTAATCAAATAATTAATTACTCCGCCTCTCGTGATCCAGAAGGCAGAGGATTAAGTCTTTGATACCAGTTGGATTTGCAGTAGTTAACACCACAGAACATGGAAAGACGTTAGAAAGGCCTTGTGGGCGTGGCAGTGTAGACACGATCTTGGACAAATGTACAGGATAGTGACTTCACCACGCAATCGCGATGTTTAGTCATTCACGAACGCGCGCGCTGTAAGTACTATGAAACACGCCACTAAAAGTGTTAAAAATAGCGACTTGCGCAGTTATGAATTGCAAAACATGAAGCCCATCCTTAAGTAGGTCCAAAGGAAGGATTAGTATTTTTAGTCGAAATTTGTAAAATGTTATCAAAAGTGTGAATCACAAAAAATATTTCCAAGAAAATATACATTGCTGGAGAAGTGCGCATATTTAAAACATTGCATCTCACTAAGCACGTAATGTAAAGAACATCGCGAAATCACCGTTTTAAATAGCAACATAATAGATTACGGTAGATGGATAGTGAAGTGCCTGGAAACATTTAATCGATTCTTGGTGTGTTAGTAAAAACTAAATAAAAGTATAGACGAAAAATAGTGGTAATAAAAAAGAAATTTAATCAGAGATTAAACATATTGTCTTCGTTTGGTATGCGTTTGTATATTAATTTAATAATGAGTGTGGTAATAAGTCTGTTTTTATATTTTTAATATTGTAACAGAACATTAGTTTTATTTTTTATTTTGAACCATTAACAACAATTCTTTTTAAATCATCGGAATCCGTTCAGTATAAGTTCCAATAGCATTTATTGTACTGATAGTATTTTTTTATTTTGTGTATATTTATTTACATTATATTGTCAATATTACTAGTTTCATTTAAGCGATGTTGCCGATCTTATCTTGATACGAAATCGAGTAACGTAACGTAAAAAAATACCTACTATAATTATTAATAAACAAACATATTTATATGCAAATAAATATTTAAGCTCGACTAGTACCGATTCAGTATTAGTTCATTAGTAATTAGTAATTTAAATATTTCTTATTGAATCAACCAACTAATTAAGAATTAATTTCTAAAGAAAAAAGATAATGTCTCATTTAATCAATACAATTCTATGTATATCCAAAATAATAATAATCATTACTTTAGTATCCTTTCAATTAATCGACTTGTTGATTTTCAATATCGATACTAAATAACTTTATGTCAATCACTAGTGTGATGACAAATTAAAATGGCTTTTACACATTTATTATGCACTATAGACGTCTGTTATGTTATATTGGAGTGTTCTGATTGGCATGTTTAAAATGCAAGTGTGTGCATATCTTGTGTATAATTGGTCTGATATTTCCTCTGATGTATGGCGGACTATAAGTGGGGCAAGACTGGCGACATCGGTTTTCGTATAAAGGATGCATGATCGCCTTTCTAACTTCTTTTCTGTATTCTGTGGTTAACACCCACCAACCTGCTCTAGTCTAGTAGCTCGGTGGCGTATAAGCGCCGCGGTCTGCGATTGTTGTTGATAATCAACTTTCGCAAGGGTCAGTCACGGGATGGGTGACCAAAACATTAGTATCTCCAGCTACTCCTTGCTTTGGAAGGCACGACAAGCCGTTGGTTGTGGTTGCATTTGCAGTCGTTTATACCCTACAATCCGCATTGGGCCAGCGTGGAGAATCATGCGCATCCTCCTTAACCGTCCATGCCCTGCAGTGGGGATGTAAAAGGGCTTATGATGATGATGAACCTGCTCGAGACCTACGTGGTGGGTTTTGGCCCATTTTCCTTCACAGACAAAGCTTGTGTTCTCCCATGGGTATACAGTCAAATATCTTCATAAGCCTTAATGTACAGTCAACAGCACGCCAGATTAAATAAATCTGTCAAATTTATTTTCAACCTTAACGCTGTAAATGTGAATTCAAAATTAACTTGATGAGTTTGACAGGTCAGATTACCACACTATGTCAAGATTTGTACAACCTGATGTGCTGTTGAGGGTACGTCCTCTGTAATTTCTTATTTCCGTAAAATAAGATCTTCTCATCTAAGGGCAAATAAGTCAACTTAATAATGATCTGAATGCTATGTATGTGATATTTGTTTTTTATAATTTATATTCTTAATACCCGCTCCAATTCCATTAAAATAGCTTTCACGAGTGGCATCATGAGGCCGCAAGCAATTATATCTGAAAGCCACATAGCTGAGAACATAGTGGTGAAGAACAATATGAAGCTTAACCTGGTAATGATAAGAAGAATATTTATTAACAACTATATATTTTATGTTCATTTCAAAACTATCTAGGAATGTGGGTTACATTCTAATTACGATATGAAAATGTTTTGTCATGTATTTGTAAGAGATTAAAATTTATTATTAGACATTTCCTTTACTAAATGATAACATGGAAGTTACTGTAACATTCTTATTGCCACTTTTTGATTTTTCATTAATCTACCATATGGTAGAAAAAACTGAAGGCCCGTTGCAAAATTGTGTTAATAATCTAATGCTTATTGATGTATATAAATCTTGATACCTGTAATGTGAGCAACCGAATACTAGAAGAACTTTGAGAGCTATTCTTCTATGCAAGCTACTTCTTTCTATAGCGAAAATGATCATCATTATGCTTATGAAATCCAACAATTCATTCCTCGAAAATGCCTAAAAAGATATCGTATATACAATGTTTAAAATAACTCGGAGCTAAATACAATTTATTAATGGCATATATAAAAATGATAGACAAATATACAGATGATATAAAAATTTAGATTACATATTTGTTTAAATCCAATATAAAATACTTGATTTTATTTACTTATTTAAATGTAGACCATTTATGTACAAACGTTGGTACTCACATGATTTACGTATCCAGGATGTTTTGATACAATAATTGTATACAACACTACTGGCATTAAAGATATTATTCCTGGATGTAAGACATCAGTCGTCCAATAAACTGCTGTTACCAAAAAAATATAGAAACATTTGAATGCCTAAAAACATATTAGGAATAAAGAACCACATATTAATAAAAATTAAAAACGAAGAACTAGATTTATGGGAGCAAAGTATCCTGTTCTAAATTGTATTTCAGATTGTTACTAGATCTTACTAGAAAGGTGATAAGAAAATTCGAGAAACTTCTTCTATAGTCGGGAGGTATAATCAAATGCTATAATACAGAAGAAATGTCAAAAATATTTTTTTTCAACTAGAGAACCCTCTCAATTTTCGAAGTGATTTTAGAAAACCATTTTGATTATCTTGCTTGGTATATATTTGTTATACAAGAAATCTTTTTCTCGGGACATGGGCCTCCGCCAGATCCTTCCACCTTTGCTACTTACTACTGTTATTTGTTACTTTCACCTAATCGGGTTGGTTTTGTTTGTTGATATGTAGGTTTTAACTTGTCCTACTAGCGTTGCATTTTCTACTAGGGTAATATAAAATACTAACATTGTTTTCTGCTGCAAGTGCTAAGGGAATAAATATCAGAAGAGTTAATATCAAAATTATAGTTCTCCAGTATAGTAACCAAAATAATTTTATTCGATCCCTTTTGGTTATAATAACTAGATTCGTCTCTCTGAAATCAATGTCATTGGAAGTTTCTTATCTCATAAATACAATTTTAGGATTCAATTTTATTTTATGGATTTTAAATTAAGTAGTTCTAAATATCACATATAGCAGAACTAGTGGATAACACATTCCAAGGGAGCAATTTGCTACTTACGAAGAATCTGATTCCATTATTGTATTTTTTTAATATCTTTCATAAAATATAAACTTTATCTTATGTTTATATGATTTCCGTAATCAATGAATCTCTGTATGTTATCTTTTTTTTAATGTTTGTTAATAGAAAATTCTGTGTTATTAATTTAAATATAAGGTACCTATTTACAAAAATCTAGTCTGCCAACAGAACGGTGGCGTAAATAATATGTTCACCCCAAACATTTTTATATATAGTAATATATTTTTTTATTATTACTGGCAGCATCGATTATGGTAACACAAGTCAAAAGACTCTTGTTCAGAGCCGTAATTGGTTATAATTTTTAATTTTTCTGTCAATAATTTAGTTGTCATTCTGTCGTGACAGAGGTGGGGTGTACGACTCGAAACAAATATTTTATTTCGATTTAAATAACGCGCGATTTAAATAATATTAAAATTAAAATGCCTGTTGAACTAGAGTACGATTATGAGTCTGTGACGGCATCAATGGATATATTTTCTGAGGATGATATAAATTCACTTAGGCAGTGGACTCAAAATTTAGATAAATCAAAATATGTGCCGAAAGATTTAACAAACAAACAGTTGGTGTTATTTTATAATGCTTGTTACGGAGATCTTGATAGGACGAAAGTGTGCATAGAAAAATATTATTCGTGCCGAAAAAATGCTCCAGAATTTTTTGACAATCGCCGTACTACTACCACTGAAATAGTTCCTGTGATCGATGCATTGTAAGTTCTTTTGCATATATATAAGTATTTAATATATTGTTTCTGGGTTTAAGTGATAGCTACTCTGAAAAAATGACGACGCTACGAGACATAATTGCAAGTACCTATGTAATGTAATAAAATATTACTTTGTGTTTGTTCAGTGTGTATTTGAACCTTGAATATATAGCATTAGTAATTACATCAACTAGTTTGAAATAACATAAAATTATCTGTTATTCTAATATAAAGATACTAATTTCTAGGGGAATTGATAGTTGGTATTTGCTTCAGAGCAATTTAAAACCAAGCTGCAAAATGACTATTCCTTTATTTATTGCTGATATATGATTATTGGAAATAACAGACATTTTAAAAACTTTCTCTATATATTTTATATAATCCCATTCTTATGATCTTTGTTTAGCATTTTTTTCTGATAAAATTTATCCAAAATCTGTAATATCATGAATAGATTATTTTTTATTTGACTTGACCGGGAATCAAACTAGTCACCTTCGAGATAGTGACAACTTGAACCTATTGAGCGAGTCACTCGGCCACAGAGGTCTTCAACTATAAGATGTGACGGTATTGAAATCTCTCAGTATTAGTTATTTTGTTAAGCAATAGACAATAATAATGATATAATGGAGAGAGTAATTTTGGTGTGTATCTAAGAAATCGCTGAATAATAAAATTATAGTTTTCCAATTTACAATAGCAGTTAAAATCATCTTAGCAAGTATTTTTAAAGATACCTGCTTAAGAATGTCCTATTCTTAGCATAATGAAAATTCTTCTATGGTCAGAAATTATTATATTGTATTGGCTGACACTATTTTAATGGGTTACACCTTTATATCTCTGCCAGTGGGCTTTAATCAGAAGTTTATTGCTTAAAATAATTTCAATTCTAAACTTCTTAAACATGCATTGATTCTTGCAAAGTGGAAGTATATAAGAGTTGATTTTTGCAGGAAACGAAAGGACCAAAGATAGTTATTTCTGTTCTTTTTAACTAACATATTAAAAACTGAAATTTGCAACGTCTGAAACCTAGATATTAATACAAATACAGAAAACTATAAATAGAATATGAGTTGTTTATTGAGTTTTGAAAAAATTAATTTACTTTTATACATGAAATAAAACCGAAAGGGTTGTAATGGAGAAATCAATAAAGTACTGTAGAGACAACTAGTTTGATTTAAGGTACTGATGGTTGTTTATTAAATGCTTCCTCATTTAAGAATTTCAAATATGCATGTTTGCATAATATAGTTGTATCTTAAACCTTTTTAACCTATATATAAATGCTAGAATAAAATAAGCAATATATTATTTGAAAACTAGTATGTTTCCTAATTAGACAGAGAGCTTGTGACAAAAATTTGCAAGAGCTTTCTTAAGCTTAATGTTTCAGTATATGGAAGTACTAAGGGTATATTGAGGATAGTACGCGCGACCGCCCGCGCACATCAATTTGTCGAAATTCTCTTCAATAACCTAATTCAAAAACAGATCTTGCTCGTTTCACATAGTTATCCCTCACCTTTATTCGCTCTCTCCACCTCATTATTGAAGCCATTGGAAGAGGAAGATATTTCAAAACCTGAACTGAGCATACTTCAAAAGTGTCAACGAGAATCATTTTTAGTGGAATACCAGGCGCTTGTGAAAGGCATTCCGATAGACAAGCGAAGTCGTCTTTGGAGACTATCACTGTATCTTGACGACGATGGAATCATTCGTCTTCGGGGCCGTATAGAGAATGCAGATGTTCCAATCCCGTATAAGCGACCGATCGTGCTGGATGGACGCCATCGTTCAGTAACACTCCTGCTGGCGCATTATCGCCAGAAAGCTGAGCATGCTCATCAAAAACTCGTCATAAATGAAATAAGACGACGTTTCTGGATACACATCACTCAGTACCCAGTGTGAAGGTCAGGTGCTGGAACACATGGTGGCGACAGCGCGAAGCAAACTTCTAGTGAATACTGAATATGTTTGTTCTATTAAATGGAAGTATTTTTTATGAACTAACTACTAATAATTTAAGTTTCAACTATTACGAAATAATTTTGGGAGCTCATTCACACCAACTTCTGGTATCTGCTGAGTTGTTCTGTTTTACGATTATGGAATCAGCAATTTAGTCTACTGCAGCCTTCAAGCCTTCCTTATGAATGGTTAAGAAGGATGAGCCATGAACCTCCACGCTTGCCCAATGCGGATTGGTGGGTGTTAACGACTGTAAAAGCAGCCGAGACCAATGGTTTAACGTGCCCTTCGAAGCACAGAGTAGCACGAGATAATATTTTTTTGGTCACCCATACCTGGCCGACCCTTTCTTACTCTATATTAAGAATTGCTCATTCGAAACTATAAAAAAAACTTACGATTTTTCGTACTGCATTGCTAATTGCTCTGTCGCCACTTGGTGTTTCAGAACCTCACCTCCGCACAGGTTACTGAATGACGTTTACCATTAGTACTGCCACATACTGAAATATCAAGCTTTAGAAAGCTCTTGCATTTTTTGTCACGGTCTCTTAGAGTAGTATGTTATAAATTAGATAGTACCTATCCGCATCCACAATATCCCTAGTTACAAATATATCTACTTTCTTGCTGTAAAAATAACTGTCGTAAGTTTTGAAACCAATAATTGCGAGAAGTGTACTCAACATTAATTAAAGGTCATAAACAATATGTTTTGTTTCTTTGTTTTATAATTCATTGTGTTTATTATTTCCTTAAGTAAGTACGTAAGTCATTTCATTGTATGTTCAGGTGGTTTTGTAATCATTGTTATCCTTTGAAGTTTCCGGTTCGAAAGATGAAAGGATTTAGTTGGTATGTTACGCAACTTAATTCCTATTCTTGATTTTCAGTCAGAATGTAGGGTCCTAGGTTATATTGAATGCAGGTTCCTGTGGCCCCATAATAATCACCAACATGCAAGATCTATACCATTCCTAATATTTTTTCATTTTTCTTCAAATTCACCACCACATTAAAAAAAAAATACTGGTTTCGGTGGTGGTATGTTGAAACTGGTTAAAGATAGAAAATAACAAATTTGTTTACACCAATGGATGGAAAATGTACCTTGTGTGTTAAAATAGGTCTCTTTGACCTCTAAAGTCCAGTCGCCAAGAAGAGAGAATTTCGTACGTTGACCTTTGTGCCTACTGTTACGTTGCAATGACAAAATTGGCTAGATGCATCTGTGCGAGTACAAAAGCAGTAGTACGTGTGAAATAGATATGGTTTACCTAAAAAAACCCGATGCGGAGTACCTTCGCGTGGAAGAAAGATCCGGGATCCGTCAAAGAGTGATCTAAAGCTAGATCCACTTTGGAAGCCTTTCTTGTTGGTCTTAAACTAAGTATAGGTTGTTTCTTGATGAATGTAAGTGACATAAAAATTTTTTTTTTATTTGCAGGGAGTTCGCATTGTTGCCTGGCAAGTCTTGCGAGGGCTATGACATCATCTACCACCGTTTACACCACACGGAGCCGTCCAAATATAACTTTGATCTTGGCGTCAAACTGCTCTTCATGACGATCGGTAAGTCTCTTGCCTCTTCGACTGTTCGATAGTTGTGTTGCTAGGAGTGAGTGAAGTTACAATATTATCAACGAAACGAAACGAATTGGCTACATGACAGTTATAGCAATACATTATTAAATAGGTACGTTGGAAATGGTAATTTGTTTGAAAACAAAAACTATCTAATATAATTTGATTTAAAATAAATTGTAAGCCTATTTTATTTTTAAACGTTCTACAATCTGTGGATTTAAAAAAAATGGAAACGCGGTTTGCTATGACAGAGCGTCGTGTGAAATCATATTTGAATATTATAAACGTTAACATCTTTCGGAGTGTTTGATTAAATGTTTGATTGCTTACAAAATAAAACATTTTCATATAACTCAATAGGAATGACGACTGGATAAAAAAAAAATGTTAGAAACGTATTTTTTTTACTTCTATTTAACAAAGAATAACAAGCGTTAAAGTCGAGGAGTGGAGGCTCGCTACGTCACAGTTTTGTAAAAAATGTACCAAAGCGTGACGTCATGCGACATTTTAACTCGATGTATTTCCGTAATTTAATGATTACGAAAAAAATACGTGTTTAATATATTTTAACACTCTACCTGACGCATAAACAAACAAAAATTAGTCGTCATTCCTATTAATGTTAAAATTTAATGTGTAAAACGTTACGGAATTATGTACTTTTAATTGACGTCGTGGCATATTAAAAATATAATACCATATGTAATAATGGTATAATATGCAATTATATAAAAGTTTCATATGGAATACTTCTCCCAAAAAGGTAGGTAGCAATGGTAATGCGGGGATGATTATGTGTTTTATACAAACAATGTTATATTCTTTTACTTCTCAGCTTTTATTTGGCACGTTTGATAGGGATTAAGAGTGCGCATACACCGTAAATTCCTAACCTTAAACTGGTTTTATGTTAAGAAAATACTATAATTAGAAAATTATATAATATTTGTAAGAGTTCAGTCATGGCCAAAACCCGAATATACAAACATATCTCTATAAAAAAAATCACCAAGTTAGCTCTAAATTCACTTCTTTTTCTCATTTTTCGCAATGGGATTTTTTTTTTTATATTAATATGGAAGTCATTTTGTAGCTGAGTGCATTATGCAAAAGTTTTTTTAATAATCGTGTTAGTTTGGTACGTGCAATGAGGCATTTGAATTTGCTACTAGAGGCGTTAGTTTAGCGTGAGGTCTTCAGAACGTTGATGTAATTCGTTGTTGGTAAACTATGCGCGTTTATTAAAAAAAAAAAATGTTACTTTGTGGTATCCGAGATTTATTAAAGCAACTACGAATTAGGGATCATAGAATGTCATTTCTTTATAAACGGAGCTAAGAATATGAGGTGCAAAATAAAGCGGGATGAAAGAACAGCTAAGTCAGATAAGTTCAATCTTATAGTAAACAGGCATCGTGACAGTCCCGCCATCTGGTGGGCGATAAAACGCTAGCATTCATTCGCCACCTATCTATCTCATTCAATCAAACACATGTATCTGTAAATTGGTCTGACTTAATAGATATAATGGTTTTTATCTCATTTATTATCAAAATTACGATTAAATTAATTTTATATAATTGTAACTACTGTACTGAGCCACAGCAACACGTGGCTAGATCAGCCAGTGTTATTATGTTATAGAATTACAATGTAGAGGTGCCTCACAATGCCACGAGTGGTTCAAACACCGCTACTTTCGAATTGATGAAATACAAAAAATTTCTCCGCTCACTCACATGCGTTACAGAATTATGTCGTAGATTTGTTTTTTTTTTATCATTCCGAACGACTGCTTCGTTTTTCCCCATTTGTCATTCATGCGACAGATATTGATGCGGTTTTCACTGATGGATACGAAATTTCGCGAAGAAGACCCGTGCGTACGGGTGATAAATACCGTGCGTACGGGTAATATATACCTGTTTGCGTACTTACACGAAGGCTTCCTAGGTGTTTATTATAAGATTTTTTATGCTTACATTCACAATCGTTTTTAGTAAAATTCTTCAATTTGTCATTCTTCATAATGGTAACTTCAACGTTAACATAAAATCCATACCCACTGTCCCGATCACTAGTTATTGATGTTTTTATAAGTAACCTATGTCAATTCTCAAGTCAAAAACTGCCGCTGTATTAAATTTCATTGCAATCGGCTCAGCGATTTAGCCGTGAAAGCTTACACAGGCGGTTGCCTTTACATTTATAATATAAAAGTATAGGTATAAGCATTATTTACATCAAATAATTCAAGACAATAATTATAAAAAAAAACAGGAAGTACATATCAACAAAAAATTACGTTTCTAGGATGTAATATCAGAATGAGCATCAACACATAACCAGTACTCATAAATGAATATTAAACTTTGTCTTTCAGGAAGTTAAAAGATATTTATTTATTGTAAATATGGTAGAAAAGGCGGAATATATTATTATTTAGTTATAGTTAATTTTATTATATTAAAATTAGAACGCCAAGGTTGTTAACAATTTGAAAATAAATGAGAATTCACATCTGGATTTTTAAATTAACGTTAAAATATTTGTTTTGACTTCCTACTAGCAAGTAGTATATAAATCCTTGGCATTTAATTGGTCAATTAACAGATGCATTTTCTTATTTAAAATATAAGTTTTGTATGATAAAAAGGGCCAGACAATTGTACGGTTCACAAGAAAAGCGAATGAACTGCGAATTTTGATCTTTAGTAGTTATTTGTAAAATTAAGTTTATAGTTATAGTCTAAGAGATCGTGACAATAATGTACAAGAACTTTTTAAAGCTTGATATTTTCGTATGTGGAAGGATAAACGGTATACATACATCGCTTGAACGACTGATCGCGTCGGTAGCAGCTTAGGCTTAATGAACAATATTGTATTTGAATTTCAAAAAGTCCATATAGGTCTTTAAAAAACGGTGTCACTACAAACTATGGCAAGTGCTATTCTGCGCTATTCAATGAGTCAAAATTACTAATATATTTTTGTTTCTGAGACCGAGACCGCCAAAATTTACTATTTTACGCAATAATCACCGTTGTAAATGTAATATGGCTCTTAACCGATCTTCCACTAGATTTGTCCACCCTTACTTTTATAAATGTTTTGATTTATATAATTGCGGAGAAGTAACAAATGATATGATAAAATAATAATACTCTATAGTTTGTTATTTACTTACATATTAATATTCTTATAGTTAGTAGTGTAATTAAATTCGTATTAGGTTGAGATTACCGTCGTCCAGTCGTTGACTTACATACATATGTGTACATAACAACTCATCCTCGCCAATAGTTTCGGAAGTATGTTAGCGGCGTCCCCAGTACAATGCAAATTGTCACAGGTGAAAGTGCAAGAATTCTTAAAATATGTCCAATAGTCTCGGAGCCTATTTGATGTAAACAAGCTAACCATCAAATCTATCCTCTTTATAATATAGTATAGATTGTATGGTACGTTTTCAAAAACCGAAAGACGGTGGCACAGTCACAGTTTGTCAGTTCATTGCATACTTTAAAAGTTTCCCATTACAATCGCAAACAATTTCCAATGTACAATTATGACACTGTTTCCATTGTTCTAAACTGGGTCATCTACATCGATTTAGATGCTGAATTCAATTCAATTCAATTCTTGTTTATCTCATCCTCTATTATACAAACTTGTCCACCCATGTGCCATGACCTGGCGATGCTCTTGCTTGTATTATGGAAATCTGAAATAATGGAAATAGGTATCTCAACATTAAAAACTAAATCAAAAATATTTTCTCTTCCATACTGACCCTGTCTAGACTGTCTAGAAATCGAGCCGAGTGCAGTTTCCACATTGATACCGATCGCAAATCCCACCTGTCAATAGTTAATAGCTAAAAAACTATCCTTATCCATTACTTGAAAGTTGAATTCGATATTCGACTATAAGGAAGCAAATATTTACTTGTTGAAAAAAATATTTACTTAATTTCAATTGCGATCGCTAATGTTGAAGTAATAATGGCATGTCAGTGGTGTTTCGGTTAAGTTCAGTTTTAATTTAATTGAAGCGCCATTATCTTACATCGCCATAAGGACGCTGATAAGAAATAAAGTATCAATTGACATAGACGACATTTGGAGAAATTACGTCTAAGGATGAATATTTAGACGCCATTTTCTCAAAATCTTACCAAATTTAAGACCGCCAAATGAGCCTTATAATTAAATTTGGTTAGATGGACAATTGGTGACCGAAGTTGCGATAGCAAATAGAAAAGCATGACTAACTCAAGAAATTTCAAACTTTTGTTGCGTAAGTCTATGTTTGTATGTAATATAGTTGGTAACCTTATATAATATAAGTTGGTAACAATATTCATGTCCTATAATCGTTTGGGAAATTTTCAGTTAATATTAGGGGTTAAAGTATGAAATTGTCGTTTTATTGTAATACGTTCCTTAAATTGACATAGAATATTCATGGTTTGAGGTTTTCGAAGGAAACTTTTGTTTTGTATGGTGTTCTTTTTTTAAAAATTAGGAACATTTGAATATCGACTTTCAATTGGTTTTGTTATTCAACTTAGACAAGAAAGATGGATGGATGTAACCAATTTTAAAAATGGCGTAAATTATATTTTAAAAGGTCGAGAGTGAGGTACAGGTCGAGGTTGTACCAATAACCGCACCCGGAAAAAAATGACATTTGTGTGGAAGCAATTCATATATCGAGTTCGTCAAGTACCTTGGCAGGTCCAACACCAAGTGCTTATCGGTGATTTCTTACAATGAAATTGTCATTTTGCTAGGCCCTAAGTAGTATTTTTAAATAAAGATCTAAACTGTAAGATAACTATGATAATGTGCATTGTCAAATGCCATACCTATAACCCTATAACTTTGTAACTTTGAAATCCTTTTGTAAATACTTCGCCGAAATTACTTTAGACTCCGTGGGTTCAACCGGCAGAATTATCCATCCATTGGACCCAC